CCCACTCTCCTTGTCCTTTCTGTCACTGTGGTGCCCTCTCACAAGTACTTCTGGTTTACCAGCTATATAACTGACATGATTATGTTTATCATCTTTCCCTCCTGTTATAATATAAGCTCTCTGGAGGCAGGGATTTTTGTCTGGTTAGTTAATTAATCTATTATTTTTAAAGAGATTTTATTTTATTTTGGAGAGAAAGATAGCATGCACACATAGGGGGTAGGAGCAGAGGGAGAGGGACAAGCAGACTCGCGCTGAGTGAAGAGCTCTATGTGGGGCTCAATGAGGGCTCAACCCCACAACCCTGTGATCACGACCTGAGCCAAAATCAAGAGTTGGACGCTTGACTGACTGAGCCACCCAGACACCCCTGGTTAGTTAATTTCTCTCCTAAGTGGTTAGAATGGTGCCCAGCTCCTAGAAGGTGTTCAGTAAACACTTGTTACAAGAAGGCATTAATTAATGCTCTTAAAGCTGGTTGTTGAACGGATGGATGCTCACGAGACATAATGAAGCCCATTTCTCTGTCTTACCTAGTTTTAATTAATAATAATAATAATTTCTGCCAACCCTGTATTGTTTCCTAGTGCAAGGTAATGAATGATACATTTTAGATATCTTACCTGATTTGTCCCTCAGAGCAAAGTATTGTCTATACTTTGGAGAAGAGAAAACAGTCAGTGGAGTCCAGTCACATAGCTGATAGGTGGGAAAACCAAAACTTAGGCTTATCTCCAACTCCGAGGCCTGTGCTCTTTCAGGTCCCTGCATTTGATACTCTTTATCTCTTTATTTATTGAGCCATAATTCACTTTCCATAATACTTACTCTTTTAAAGTGTACAGTTCAGTGGTTTTTAGTATGTTTATAAGGTTGTGCAGCCATCACTGCTATGTAGTTCCAGAACATTTTCATTACTCCAGAAAGAAACCCCAAACCTATTAGCAGTTAGTCCTCTCTCTCTCTTCCTGCCCCACCTGCTGGCAACCACTAGCCTGGCTTCTGTCTCTGGATTTACTTATTGTGGACATTACACATAAATGGAATATAGAATATGTGGCCTTTTGGGACTGACTTCTTTCATGTAGCATATGCTTAGAAGATTCATTCATGTAGCGTGTATTAGTACTTTGTTCCTTTTTATGCTTAACTGTCTCATTGCACAGATATACCACAGTTTGTTTGTTTGTTTGTTTCTTTCTTTCTTTCTTTCTTTCTTTCTTTCTTTTTTTTTTTTTTTAAGATTTTTTATTTGTTGAGAGAGTGAATGGCAGGCAGAGGGAGAAGGAGAAGCAGATTCCCCACTGAGCAGGGATCCTGATGTGGGGCTCTATCCCAGTGACCCTGGGATCGTGAACTGAGATGAAGGCAGCTGCTTTAACTGACTGAGGCACCTAGGCGCCCCATATCACAGTTTCTTATCCATTCATTAGTGGATGTATGGATATTTTGGTGGTTCTCACATTTCAGCTATTATGAGGAGTGCTGTTGTGTGAACATTTAGTGTAAGTTTTTGTGTAGACATTTTTCAATTGTTAAAGGAATATACCTTCAAGTGGAATTATTAGATCATACTGTAAGTCTATATTTAACCTTTTGAGGGACTGCTAGACTGTTTTCCAAAGTCACTGTATCATTTTACATTCCCACCAACTTTCTCCATGTTCCTCACCAGCATTTATTATTATCTGTCTTTTTAATTTTAGCTGTCCTAGTAGATAATGTTTTGTTATGCCTTTGCCTTTATGGCTAATGAGACTGAGCACAGAATGTCTGTGTAATGCCTTTCTTTGCCTATTTTAAATTAGATTTTCTTTTTATTTAGTCATTAGAGTTCTTTTTATATTGTGTCTACCAGATCCTTATTACATAGTGGTTTTCAGAAGTTTTCTCCTGTTCTTTTGGTCTTTTCACTTTCTTGATTGTGTCCTTCAAAGCACAAAAATTTCAAATTTTGATGATGCCATTTTATCTTTCTTCTGTTATTTGTCCTTTTGGTGTCATGGGTTAGAAATGATTGTCTAATCATAGGCCATATAGACTTATGTTAATGTTTTCTTCTGAGTGTTAATAATTGTACCTCTTAAATTTAGGTTTCGATCTGTTCTGAAAGTATATGGTGTGAGGTAGAGTCCAAGTTCATTCTTTCGCATTTGAGTATCCATTGTTCCAGTACTGTTTGTTTGAAACACAGTTTTTCCCCCATTGAATGGTCTTGGCAGCTTGTTGAAAATTAAGTGACTGTATTTTTGGATTCTAGATTCTGTTCCGTTGATCTGTATGTATGCATTTGATTTATTTTTTTGGGGGGGGGTCTTGTCATCCTTGTCATCCCATTCTCTTTGTTTCTTTTGTCCAATAGTCTTTGTCCCCTACTCCTAATTCCACAGTCTCAGGGGACACCTTTTTTTTTTTTTTTTTTTTTAATATTCATACGGTTGCTCTTGCCCTTTCCTCCATCTTACTACAATCCTAGCTTGAAACCTTTAAGTCACCTTTGATGCTTTCTTTTTCCTCACTTTTTTTTTTTAAGATTTTATTTATTTATTTGACAGAGAGAGTGATCACAGGCAGAGAGGCAGACAGAGAGGAGGAAGCAGGCTCCCCGCTGAGCAGAGAGCCCGATGGGGCTCGATCCCAGGACCCCAAGATCATGACCTGAGCCGAAGGCAGAGGCTTTAACCCACTGAGCCACCCAGGCGCCCCTCTTTTTCCTCACTCTTTATAATCAAAGGTGGTTATATCATTTGACCCCTGTTTTTATAATCTATTACTGTTCTTTCCTGAGCTCTCACTGTGGCTTTCTGACTCATCTGTGTGGTCAGGTTTATTTTATTTTATCTTATTTTATTTTTTAAAGATTTTATTTATCGGAGAGCGGTAGAGAGAGAGAGATCATGAGCAGGGGGGAGGGGTAGAGGTAGAAGCATACTCCCCACTGAGCAGGGAGCCCAATTTGGGACTCCATCCCAGGACCCTGGGATCATGACCTGAGCTGAAGGCAGACATTTAATTGACTGAGCCACTCAAGCTCGTGGTCATATTTATCTTATGTGCTTTTGTTGGGTCAATCCTGTGTATGTATGACTTTCACTTCCTTCTTTGAGTCAGGAATTCTTTGTACTCTGTCCATGGCTTTTCCATCCCCATCTTCTGTTCTTTCTATACAGGTCCATCACTGCCTACTTAGACTGGAGGACTCTGCCTCCAAATATGCCTTCTTACTGTGTATCTCAACTTGATAAGTGGTTCTAACAGCATAACATTGGCATTACAAAACCTGGCTCTCCCATTTACTGTCAGGTAACTGATTAAGTTGGTTAACTTTCTAAACTTTAGTTGTCTCATTTGTAAGGAAGGGCCAGTACTACCTACTTCCTAGGTGACTCATAGGATTAAATAAAATACGTAGAGTGCCATAGAGTGGACATTTAATAAATTTTGGATGCTATTATGTTGCTGTTCCTTTTACTTGAGATGCTGTTCCTTTTACTTGAGATGCTAACTCCCTTAATTTTTTTTTTTTAAGATTATTTATTTATTTGACACACAGAGAGATCACAAGTAGGCAGAGAGGAAGGCAGCTCTAGAGAGAGGGGGAAGCTGGCCCCCTGCTGAGCAAAGAGGCTGATACTGGGCTCCATCCCAGGACCCTGAGATCTCGACCTGAGCCGAAGGCAGAGGCTTAACCCACTGAGCCACCCAGGTGCCCCAACTCCCTTAATTCTAATGCCAAAAATTCTTCCTGTCGTTTGAGAGTAGAGTCACTTTCAGAGTACCATATTTCCCATAAAACTGTTGCTGGCATTTCCTTTCTTCTTCAGACTGTTTGTTAGTGCTTTCTGCTTTGAAACTCTGTGTACTTTTGTGTCTTTCGTACAGCTCTTGTGTTAAAATGCCACATAATTTCTGTGTGATCACATTCTTCTTTTCTGGATTATAAACTGCTTGAAAACAGATAGTCTTGTTCTATGTATCCCCAGCAGTGGATTGGTTTTTGTCTGTACTAAGCTCTCAATACATAGGTGAAATTCTTTTTATTGTTTAAGGCCAATGTCTCTTATTTAATATTAATATTTAAGGTACATATTTTTTTTCTACAAGGCTTTTGAGACAAATTCTTCATGAGTAAATAGTTTTTCCTATCCCATAGCACCTTGTCCACAAGGCTATTATAATTCTGATTGCATTGTAATACTCCCTGATTTGTGAGCCCTTTGAGTCCAGGCGCTTTGTCTTAATCAGCCTTTAATTGTTTGCTTGTCTGCCTTCCCCCCTCCTTAGACTTCCATGAGAAGATGGGCTGTTTTCTGTGTGCTCTATCATTGACACATAGTTCAGACTTTGATATATAGTGGGTGCACAAATATTTGTTGAGTAAATAGATGAAAGAATGAGCTCATTTAAGTGTCCTACAATAACATTTTTATTTATTTATTTATTTTATTTATTATTTTTTAAAGATATTTTTAAATTTATTTATTCGACAGAGAGAGGGGTCACAAGCAGAGAGGCAGGCAAAGAGAGAGGGGGAAGCAGGCTCCCCGCTGAGTAGAGTCTGATGCAGGCCGATCACAGCACCCTGAGATCATGACCTGAGCTGAAGGCAGAGGCTTAACCCACTGAGCCACCCAGGCGCCCCTGTATTGTATATGTTGTTAGTATAGTTTTTAAAATTATGGATATAGGGCACCTGGGGTGGCTCAGTGGGTTGAGTCTCTGCCACCAGGTGCTCCCCTGGAAAGGAGTGTTTTTCAGGCTCTTTATGTATAGCACCAAAATCACTTTCCAGATACTGTGTTTTCACTAGCAGTACATGAGGGTGCTTTTTTAAGTGATTGCTGTAAAACAAACAAAAGCAAACAAAACAATAAAAATGAGAGCCCTTAAATTCTGTGCATGAACTATACAAGGTGTGAGTTATTATTATTATTTTTTTAAATGTAGACCAGTTATTTGGTTCATTCCTGATGGGTTTGTTTTTTCATGCTGTAAAACAGGTGATTTGATGAAGACTGCTGCAGGAGAGTTTGCAGATGATCCCTGCTCTTCTGTGAAGCGTGGCAACATGGTTCGGGCAGCTCGAGCTTTGCTCTCTGCTGTTACCCGGCTGCTTATTTTGGCTGACATGGCAGATGTCTACAAATTACTTGTTCAGCTGAAAGTTGTAAGTACAGGCCTGTGTCTATAATTTGTTCTTTCCATCACAGTGAGGCTGCTGCTGCCCATAGTTAATTCAGTATTCCTTAGAGTTTGTTTTGGGTTTTGAACTTGTTTTACCTAAGTGGAGCAGGAATGTTTTCTTTTAGTTTCCATTTTCAGCTCTTCTCAAAGTGTACCTCAGACTGGCTGTGCTATGAGCCTGTAGTCTTGATTTTAGTGAAGAACTTGTAGCAAAGGTACTGTTTTGACTCCTTCCCTCTGTAGTAGTGATTAAGCATTTCCTTTTACTGGTATTCCAGAGTTGAGAAACCAAGATGTGTTAAATTCTATCATTTTAGATAACAGTCAGTATAATCCTCCCATGTAGTAGTTGCTCATATATTTGAGGGCCATGTAAACTGAAGAGAAAATTTAGAGTGCTATCCAAGTAGCAGTTAAAAGGAATAAAATAGTATAGATCTTTTTTTTTTAAGATTTTATTTATTTATTCGACAGAGAGAGAGACAGAGAGGGAACACAAGCAAGGGGAGAGGGAGAGGGAGAAGCAGGCTTCCACCAAGGAGGGAGCCCAATGTGAGCCTTGATCCCAGGACCCTGAGATCATGACCTAAGTCGAAGGCAGACGCTTAACGACTGAGCCACCCAGGTGCCCAGTATAGATCTTTTTTACATACAGATTTGTTTTGTTTAGAATTATTCTTATTTAGAGTTATGTTTTATATAGGTGGAAGAAGGTATTTTGAAACTGAGGAATGCTGGCACTGAACAAGATTTAGGAATACAGTATAAAGCCCTAAAACCTGAAGTGGATAAACTAAACATTATGGCAGCCAAAAGACAACAGGTACAGTCATGATTTGGGGGTATATTAAAGTTGTTTATATTATGATCTAGTGGGAAAAATCGATTTTACTTACGTTTTCTGAAGGTACTGGTACCTCTCTCTGCCAGTATAGTTCTATTAAAACATTTAACTTATGAAGTAAGTATCCTTTCAGTATTGTATTGTTAATAAACCTGTAATTAAGTTGCTTTCATGTTATGCTTCCATTTTAATTCTCATGAAAATCTTACTTTAAATAGCTTGGCAGTTTGCAGTTGTGTCGGGAGCGGTGATAAGGTCTTTGTTATGTGCCTTCAAGGATTAACTTGATTTGGTAGTAGAGTTAATTTCAGATTTTTTTTTTTAAAGATTTTTATTTATTTATTTGACAGAGATCACAAGTAGGCAGAGAGGCAGGCAGAGAGAGAGGAGGAAGCAGGCTCCCTGCTGAGCAGAGAGCCTAATGCCATGTAGGTCTTGATGCCATGCGGGGCTTGATCCCAGGACCCTGGGATCATGACCTGAGCCGAAGGCAGAGGCTTTAACCCACTGAGCCACCCAGGCGCCCCTCATTTCAGATTTTTAAAAAACCTTAAACCCGTTGAAAATTAGCGGAATTACTTGATTATGAGAAACTAACCCCATTCTCTCCCCATATTTGGCCACTTTTTTTTTTTTTTAAGATTTTATTTATTTATTTGACAGAGATCACAAGTAGATGGAGAGGCAGGCAGAGAGAGAGAGAGGGAAGCAGGCTCCCCGCTGAGCAGAGAGCCTGATGCGGGACTCGATCCCAGGACCCTGAGATCATGACCCGAGCCGAAGGCAGCAGCTTAACCCACTGAGCCACCCAGGCGCCCTATTTGGCCACTTTTTAAGTATTTCTTATTCATCATCCTTAGTAGTTTCCATTGTGTTATGAATTTGTGTTGTGTGGCATGTGGATCATTGTTCTAATTTTTCCAGGCTTTGCTAGCCCTTTGGAATTTGGGGACTTAGAGTGCTTTCAGTGTGGTGTGTGCTGTAAGAGAGACACACGTGTTACCATCCAGTTTCTTAAAACTTTGTAATTCTGATCAAGCTTGTGCTTTTTCACAAAGCCCTGAAAAGATCAGTTCTTTTCTTGTTTGCGATACCTGTATCAGTTAGTATATTTCATGCTGCATTTCACAGAAAACCCAGCTCCAAAACTGCTTGAACAGTGGGGGATTTATTTTCTCACCAATTAGAAGTCCCAAATTAGGTGTGATTTTTGAGGTGATGAAGGTTATAGATTATATGTCCTCTAGGATCCAGGGTTTTGACCTTTTCCAGCATTGCTGTGTTTTGTGTGCCCAGCACTGGACGGCTACAGAAGCTCTAGGCATGCTATTTGTACACATCACTATGTCCAGCAAGAATAAAAAAACCTGTTTTCTTCCATATGTCTTTTTTTTAAATAAGCAAATGATCTAGAAGCCCCTAACAGATTTGCCCTAAATCTGAATTGTGTGACATACCCATTCTTCATTAGTCATTAGTGAGAGTAAAGCAGTTATATTTGTGACTCAGAGACATGAAGACCTCCCTTCTACTGAGATTAGGGGAGGTATCCTTCTTGAGGACAGGACACCCAACAAGAGTTCTGATAGGCATGGGGAAAATGGAGTCAGTACTATAAATGTCTCATATAGGCTATCCTCAGCTTTGGAGTCTTCTTAGTACCTTTCATTTGCTTATATTATACCAGTATAAAAACTTTACCCCACCGATTGAGAAGATATAAATAATGTACGTAAAGTATTTAATAAGGTTATTAAGCATATTTCAAGCTTAGGTTGTGATCAGACTGGATCTGCGCATAGGAGATCCTGGTTTTACGTATCCGTTACTTATATTATGCATGATAATACACGATTTGATGTGTTGCCTAAGTTATTTAGTTTTTGTGGGCTCAGTGTATTTTTATCACTTATTCCCGTGTTGGCCTATGTCTCCATCACATAAATCAAAAGTAAGTTTTTTCTTTTTGCTGGGCCTGATCGGTTCTGAGTATTTGTTCAATAGTATAATTCTGTAAATATGACATGCTGGCCCAATTAGGTTCATAGTTTATTTTGCATAATGTTTATGATTTAAATTCTCATTTGAATACGTGAAATAAATGTTAGTTATATTTAAAAAATAAAGTTTGGTGAACAATCTCACTGTCTTAAAACTTAGTCTAATCTTTGTTTATGAAGACTTACTATTTGAGGAAAGTAAGAATGTTTAGACTGACACTATATTGGCTATCTTTGCAAAGTAGTAGAGTAAGTAAATTGATGATATTCTTGAGATAGAATATAACGATAGAGCAGACTTTTGTATCCTATGGGAAAAACTTACTCAAAAGTAATGGTGCCTGTAAGACTGGTGAATCACAGACCTAGACCCCTGAAGCAAATAAGACATTATATGTTAATTTAAAAAAAAGGTAATGATGCCTGACTTTTTAATTCTTTGCGCAGTGAATACATGAAGAGTTTCTTGAACATAATCCCCGATGTACTAAAACACAAAATGAAACAAAACCCAGTAAATTTTAAGTATTTCTGAAATAAGATGTCATTAAAATCTTGAAGTTACTACTTACTGGACGGTCTTATATTTGCCCCTCCATATCTCGTTTCACCCTTATTCATCTTGTTCTCTGCCCTAGGAACCTGACCTGTCTGGACTGCATCTAGGGCTCCTCTGCCCTCTAGGTCCTGATTGGGTTTGGCCAGTGGGAACATCAGCAGGAGATCAGAGGGGATAGAAGGGTGAGGCTGGGGATTTATTCCCCTGGATCCCCATCCTGCTTAATGATCATGGTGGCTAAAAGAGCCCCTTTCAGGTGGTATTCTCCATACACCTTGCTGCCTGGTTTCTGATAACTGGTGCCTCTCTGTTTTATCAGGCCAAAGTGCTGTATCAGCCTTGTGGTTTCCATGTACTTTCTCTGTACTTTTTATGTTTTTATTTTTTGAAAGATTTTATCTATGTATTTTGACAGACAGCAAGAGGGGACATTAGTAGGGGAAGTGGGAAAGGGAGCAGGGAGCCTGCTGAGCAGGGAGCCCGATGAGGGTCTTGGTCCCAGGACCCTGGGATCATGACCTGAGCTAAAGGCAGCCACTTAACCAACTGAGCCACCCAGGTGCCCCTCTTCATATCTTTTTAGCATAGTCCTTGAACCATGTTTGATTTACTCTTATTTTGTTTTCTGCTGGTGTCTTTTTTTTTTTTTTTTAAGATTTTATTTATTTGCCAGAGAGAGAGAGAGCACACAAGCAGGCAGAGGCAGTGAGAGAAGCAGGCTCCCCGCCGAGCAAGGAGCCTGATGCGGGACTCAATCCCAGGACCCCGGGACCATGACCTGAGCCGAAGGCAGTGGCTTAACCAACTGAGCCACCCAGGCATCCCTCTGCTGGTTCTTAATTGATGCATGTTTCCATTTTAAAGTTTATCTTGGGTTTGTAGCATGTCCTGGTCATTTATAGTGTTCCTTGGGCCTAATTCTTAAACCTTTAGCCTTAACCTTCTGCAGTAGAATTCACTGAATAGGCCGTCGGTGGGCTCCTTTCTGACTCCTGATCATAAAATAGCTTTTGTAGGACGTGGGTCTAGGTGTGTATTCCTATAAACTCGTGCTTTCCTTGGGAATTAAACAGCTATTTGATCCTAAGTTCCCTCCCTTTTAGAATTACCCACTGGTCTCCTTCAGTAACTGGCAACATTTTTTCATAGTGTGTGTTTTCTGGCAGAATTCCTATACTGCTATATGCTTAGCCCCCCTTGACTGTTTTCACCTTTAACTTTTTCTTCTTTTCTCAGGCATGGCATGTATTAATTTACCTTCTCGTTCAGGCTCTTAATCTTTGCAGACAGCCCCTAGTCCAGAAAAGGGGTATTTCCTCAAGAAAAGTATTTGGGTGTGATGTATGTATTGGCTTCTTTAGCCTACCTTGTATCATTTAATCAGCAACCACCCGTTGAGGAAATGCTAAACCTCATAAGGTCTGCAGGCTCTTTGGAATTTATCTGTTTCTCCTTAAGGTTTTTCTGGTGCATGGTATGGTGGTGGGGGTGGTGAGGATGTTGCTGAAAATAATAATGATTAACTCTAAAAAGGTGTTTTCTATGTGCTAAACACTGTTATAAACCTTTTGTGAATACAAACTCATTTAATCTTTACAAAACAATATAAGGCAGATCTGTAATTGATCAGATACTCATTTTTGTAGACGAAAGAACTGTAGTACAGGGAGATTAAATAATTTGGCAAGGTCATTCATCTAGTCAGGTGGAGCCAGGTTTTAAAGCCAGGCCCCAGGGGCAGGGATTTTGTTTGTTTAAATTGCTGTTATAATCCCTAGTGCCTAGAACGTTGTCTGGATGTAGTAGTGTTCCCTAAATATTTAATGAACAAGTGAATAAGCCGTTTGGTTATACTGCAGATCTACCCTGGAATGGGGTTCTAAGTTTGGTCCTAATCTGTTATTTTCTTGGGTTGGAGTATAATTTGCTCACTAGGAGTGTTGGATTTCCTTGAGGCTATAGGCTCTTCTTTGAGTGTAAGGGTAAAATAGATGGCAGAGGTAAGGATGGGCCAGCATTGACCCTACTTCTTGTAAGGAGGACTGCCTGTGCCTCCTGTGGTCAACACTGTTTCCTCAGTCTGCTCCAGATGGAACACTATGATGTTTGTATTCCACCCACCCAGGTACATAGAGCTTGTTGAGATATTTGCCAAAAACCTAATGAACTCTGAGTTTCATGATTTCTTTCTCTCTCTCTCTCTCTCTCTCTTTCTATTTATTTATTTTTAAAGATTTTATTTATTTTTCAGAGAGAGTGCACACAAATAGGGGGAGCAGCAGGCAGAGGGAGAAGCAGGCTGTCTACTGAGCAGGGATCTTGATGTGGGGTTTAATCCCAGCACCCTGGTGTCATGATGTGAGCTGAAGGCAGATGCTTAACCCACTGAGCCACACAGGCAGGCGTCCCTCATGATTTCTTTTTCTGAAAAC